ATACTATAGCGATCGAAAGTTGTTGCTTCATTATGCATGTAGTCTAAGAACCTTGCTATACCGACGGTCCCTTTCCCCCGGGCAACTCGCCGGAAAAGTTGGCCAGGAATCAGCTTTAACGACGTTCCCCACTGTCTTGCAACTTTCGTTCCGCGCCGTATTCTTTCCCCCTAATAACTTTTAGCACCCCGACGCGGAACCGGCGCGAATGCAAATTTCACCGAGCGTGGAGCGTCGCGCGGGATCGGCAATCGAATTTCCTCGTTCCATTTCCTACGGAATTTCTCCCCGCTACCTTTTTACCACCCCGACGTTAACAAACACAATTCCTATTCGAACCGTTAATTCCGCGACTGGCAACGTGCGTCGATTAACCGAATTTCAGTCTCGCTTCGACTTATCAATCGTGGTTTGCATTTATTTTATTATTAATAAAAAATGAATTTATTGTTTGACTGTTGCGAGTTAGAATCTTATTTTGATGTTGATTCTAAGGTTTAATTGAAGCTGCTAATTGGATACGAAACCCGTAATTGGCAGTGAGATTAATTCGCAGAAAGGAAATCGAGTAACTGGACAAGCGCATTGTGTCGCGTCGCATCGAACACGCTATTTTTATCGTGTTCGAATCGATGTTCACGAAACGTGATAGATTCCAATTTTCCGCCAGGTAAATAATGTACGATCTGAATTATTCATGAGCCGCTCGGCGGCCGCTCACAGCTGGACGAAAACCGGAGCAATAAACTTGTCTCTCGCTTCTTCCTCTTCGCTTCCTTTCTCTTCTTCCATTCTAATTGCGTACACGAGTATTGTTCGTCTTTATTTAGACCCCTGTTTCCTGTTCTTTGTCACGATTAATGTAACATTTACAAATTACTGGGAGAAATAAAAATGTTACATGTTAATAAGTTGCTCGAAACTATTGTTTTATAGGAATTAATGAAAGAAATATTATATATAAAAAAATTAATTGATTTATTTATTGATTAATTATTTATTTCGTTGATTATTTCCAACGAACAGAAATATTATAAATAAAAAAATTAATTGATTTATTTATTGATTAATTATTTATTTCGTTGATTATTTCCAACGAACAGAAATATTATAAATGAAAAAATTAATTGATTAATTATTTATTTCGTTGATTATTTCCAACGAACTTACCAACGTTCCTTAAGTTGTCGTGGACCTCTGCGCACCTGTTGGCCCACCTCTGAGCAACTGCAGCCAATTCGTCGTCCCAGACCTACGAAAAAAAACACGTTATCTCTCATTTCCAGCGCTCGGGGGAGAGAAAAAAAAAAAATCGAGGGACTTCGAGAAGTGAAGCTGAAGAGGCGTGAGAATTGGATAAGCAGCTCACCATTTCCCTCATGTTAGCAGCGCCAGGTTGCCCGTGAATCTGTCCAAGTGCCACGAGCTGTCTCAGCCGATTATGCTCGTCTAAGATCGCCTGCTTCTCCTCGCAGGATAATCCTATAGATCCTGCAACCCAGATTCAACAAGTTGGAGAGACGAGGATTGAACGATGCTTTTAAACGAATTTCAACGCTCAAGACGAATTTTAACTTGCACAATTTAAATAGTTCACACATTGTTCGGTGAATACGGAGACTCTCGTCGTGGCTGAAGGATTCTTGGGATACTTGGATGATGTACGACATGAACGGGTCAAGGATGATTCTTTCTTTGAGACAAATTCGTTTCTAGGAATCTACAGAATGTAATGAAATTTTTGAAGGTATAAAATTTCGATAAATGTGAAAAACATTAGATTTTTTTTTAAGTTTCACACTGTTGCCCTTTAATTAATGCATTGGCGACTGAATTTATGTATGTAAGGAAGTCTACTTTCTTAAAAATAGTTTAAATATTCTCGAAATATTCTCAGATCATTGTGAAGTGCATTGAAGATCGAAGATCATTGATAATACAGGAAAGGGTGATAAGAATATTGTATAAAAATATAAAAAGTATTATAGAAGAATTTTATCAAAATATTAAAGAATAGACATTAAATGCAGTTTCTTTATTT